AGTACCATTCCCATAACAGAACAATAATACTCACAACCCGGAAGTACTGTTCCCAAAACAGAACACAATTGTTCTGTTATGGGAATGGTACTTCCGGGTTGTGAATACTATTGTTCTGTTTTGGGAAAATATTTGGATGGCGGTGAAGTAAGAACTCGCATTTTGATTGGTCCATTTTCTCTATATGAAGTGAACCACGTTTCTTTGGTTAGCATGCTTGGCTCACTTCTTATGACCACAGACAAGTTAATATTAATAAAAAGCGCTGAATAAGATTGACTATTCAATGATTATGATGTAAGTATAGACATGATTCTTATTCTTATCTGCACTCACACTCACACCTTACCTTTTCAAACAAACAATAATATAATAATAATAAATAATTAGATCAATGAAACATTTAATGATATTAATAATAAAAGAGCGGTTAAATAATAAACTAAATTAATTCAATGTTAATATTGTCGATAAATTTGTTGTTAATTATATTTATTTTAAATATAAATTGTTTATTTAATCGAATTAATGATAATTTAATATTAGATAATATAGGAAATAAAATAATGAATTATGTTAATGAAAATAAAATTCCTTTAATATTAACAGATAAATTAATTGGAAGTGAAGCAGGTTCAATGAGTTCAACATATAATGGTTATTTAAATTTAACAAATAATAATATAATATCAGTTATTGTTAAATATTCATCATTTAATACAATGTGGAATTATGTTGATAGAAGTGAAATAAATCGTTTATATCAATATGGATGTTATTCACAGTTAAATGAAAATACAAATGAATATATTGTTTTAAAAGAAGATAAATATAGAATTATATATGAAAATTGGATACCATGTGAAGTATATGTTGCTTTTAAAGGATATATATGTCAAAATTTCATGCCAACATCTACTATTGTTCATTCAATATATTCATATTTTACTTTTTTTAAATCAATTGAAGATAATGATGATAAAAAAAATTTTTTTATTATATTTAAAAAGTTGGAAAATGGAATATCATTAAAAAAATATCTTGAATTATATTCAAATAAATTAACTATAGATATAGTTAAATATCTAATTAATTCAATATTAATTAGCATAATTAAATTAAAAAAAATGTCAATTATACATCTTGATCTTAATTCATCAAATATATTTATTATGAATAATGATAATCAACATAATATTAGATTTATTGATTTTTCAATAATTAAATTTATTTATCAATCTTCATCATTAAATGTAATCTATTCAGAAAATTTACATCTATCTCTTCGAAATATTTTTTTTAATTGTCCATCATGTTTTCATTCAAGTCATTCAATTCATACAATCATTTTTGCTCAACCATTTCATCAATCATTTAAAAATTATACTATTGAACAAATTTTAAATCAACCTTTCTTGAATTAGAATTCATTTAGATTTTATTTCTTTTTTTTCATTTATTTTTATAAATATCAAAACTATTCGTTAGAATAATTATCAATTGTTCACTATACAATTAATACTAGGATTCTATCAGTTCGATATATTATATATTTAAATAAAACAATATAATTGATATTTATCTAGTCAAATAATCTCATCATTATTCAACAATGAAAATCTATCAAAATTCTTTCTATTTTATATTTTCTATTACATTTCAATTCATCTTTCGTGTCTTGTCAAATCTAACATTATATTATCTATCAAAGGCACACATTGTCAGTCAACATTTTTCATCGACTATACAGATTAATATAAAAACTAAAAAGAGAATAAAAAATAAAACTAAACTACTGCCCATTCCAAAAAAGAAGGCGAGTGGGTATTTTTTGAATAACTTTTGATAGGCACAAGATAGAAAGGTTCGGTTTTCACTGTTGGAAAGAGGCATATCCGGCGCATCCATTCATATAAAATTATTGAGATTCATTACATTAATAACTAGTGATTCATGGTCCCCTTGAAAGAGTAGCCTGTTACTCTATGAAGATAGGATCAATTTTAAACTTTGAAGAGTGGACTAGAACCGCCAGCTGAAGCTCTACAAATCTGCAAAAGGCCAAAATTTTTATCTCGGTTTGGTCAAAAGTTATAAGCAAAATACTAACGGTATTTGATCGAGTTTTTGTCAATTTTACCTTGTCCAAAATATTTTTCAAACTATCATTACTGATGCTTTCGATAATGACGAATCAATTGACAATACTTTTTTAAATATAGAAGAACTCTTTTTCTATCAAAGCACTATTACTAGCGATTGTACGTTATTCCTTTCATATGTTATTACATTGTTAACTTGCAATACATACATCATATTTCACAAATGCTTATGATCAGAAGCGACACGTTTAGGACAGTACGTAGATTGGATCATATATTTTTAAGTTCTGTTTCGGGTATTTTTCTTACTGATTGTACCATAATTCATTTTCAGCTGTGAATAGTTATTTGTACTCTTCAAGTAAACTTTAAAAATGCCTAAAGGCTATGAATTTTCTGGAGACATGAAAAAAAAAATTTTTTAATGTCATCAAATTTGTCGAAAAAGAGAAGTTTGGTCCAGTAATCCCACTTTTCAATGTTAATGAACGACTATCGTCTATGCTTGATATCTCTATGAGATCTGTGGAAAGATTAAAGAGTGAGATGAAAGAAATCGAACATGAAATGCTGGAAAGGAAGAGAAAAATGGAGGAGGAAAAAGAGGTGTTAGAGAATCAAAAACTTCAGGTGCTTGGTCGACTTCGAAATTTACGATCGAGATCATCGTCATCATCATCGTCGTCGTCTATAGTCAGCACGAACACTATGGCAATTCGTGTTAATGTTCCTCGTTCGCCGCGCAAACTATCGAACTCTGGTCGTTCATCAATTCTTTTAACCGAACAACAACAAGAAACTATTCGGTGAGTTGAATTTAACTGAAAGAGTAATATTAATATGATCATTTTTTAAGATTTCATATTCATTCTCTTTTGGCCGAACGAATCTATCCTACCATCGATAAGATTGTTGCTCGTATTCTGGCCGAAGATTCTGATTTCCCTATTCAGGCAGCAACATCTTTGTGGCGTTGTGTGAGAAAAATTGGATTTGCATACAAGCGGACATCGAAAGTCGTCGTACCACTCGATATTCCATCATTTATGGTTGCGCGTGCGCGCTACTTTGCGGCTGTTGATGAACTACGCAACAATGGCTTTAAGATTTTTTGGCATGATGAAACGTGGTGTAACAAGAACGAAGAGAGACGTTTTGTATGGACTGATGGAACAACAGGTATAGATCGAATGCGACATAGTCAAAATAAAGGTATTGATTATTTCTCTTCTATTTCAAGTGATAGTCTATACTTATAGGGAAGCGACTAGCGATTTCGGCTCTTCTAAACGAATCGGGTTTCCACAAAGAAACAATCGATATATTCGAATGCGATAAGAATCATAGTATGGACTCGAAACACGTTCTGGCTTGGATTGATCGAACAACTTCTCTTTTGAGAAATAACTGGGTAATATGATTTCTAGCATTTCACTATGAATTTTACTGTTGACATTTTTAGGCCAGCATGTCAAGACTGTCTTGATTATTGATAATACGACTTGGCATAATCAACTTACTGAAGACACTATCCCTCCGAAGAGAGCATGGCGAAAAGACCTGGTCGTACAATGGTTAATAAATCATAATATTAGAGTCCCTTTTAAAGCCACTAAAGCCGAGTTACTTATGCTCGCTTTCGATAAACTATCACCAAAACGTTACTTACGAGGGAACATATCCAACTGTCGGATGCCGTTCGAGCCCATATTTTGGCTGCGAGTAGGACTCGGTGAGCCTAAGAAAACCCTAAAAGGGTTCGCGCCCATGATGTATTCCTGGTGAGATATCAAGTGTTTAGTAAATTTTCTCTACAGCATCCCACTTTTGCAGCAAAGCTATACTTTCGAATTTTGACTTGAAACTTTGCCCACATAAAGGCCTCAGCTAGACCAGCTTGCATAAAAAATTTCAAAAATTTTGAACAAAGTCTTTTCCAGATACCGAGTTTTCAAAAAATGCATGCTATATATACTATCTATGAAAAAGGGTCTGTGTCTTGATAGTTCTATATCTCGGAGAGACCTTGTTCAAAACTTCTGAAATTTTTTATGCAAGCTTGTATAGCTGAGGCCTTTATGTAAGCAAAGTTTCAAGTCAAAATTCGAAAGTATAGCTTTGCTGCAAAAGTGGGGTGCTACAGAGAAAATTCACTAAACACTTGATATCTCACCAGGAATACGCCATGGGCGCGAACCCTTTTAGGGTTTTCTTAGGCTCACCGAGTCCTACTCGTAGCCAAAATATGGGCTCGAACGGCATCCGACAGTTGTATATGTTCCTTCGTTAGTGGATGAAGCAGCAAAAAAATACAATGTCGATATTTTACGGTTAGTTTTACTCCTTCAAAACTATTTTTTATATTGATGAATGTATTTTCATAGCTTGCCGGTCAAGCATTGCATGCTCAACCCGATTGAATTAGCATGGGCTGGTTTGAAAAACTATGTTCGTGACAAAAATGTTAACTTTGGTCTTAGTGATGTTGGACATTTGGCTTACGAATGGATGACGTCTTTAAGTAGAACAACTTCTATAGGATATATTAATCAAACACGCAAGATCGAAGACATCTTCAAGAAGTCTGATCGAGTTATTGATGAAATCAAGGAAGAATTGGTCGATGAAGACGAAGAGGTTGATTCGGTAGAAGAAGAGATGAATGATTAACAATATATGTTGCTCATCTTTTTTCATTCCTTGGTCGTTATTAAAAGAATGAAATTTAAGATACTGCTCTTCTGATCATAAGCATTTGTGAAATATGATGTATGTATTGCAAGTTAACAATGTAATAACATATGAAAGGAATAACGTACAATCGCTAGTAATAGTGCTTTGATAGAAAAAGAGTTCTTCTATATTTAAAAAAGTATTGTCAATTGATTCGTCATTATCGAAAGCATCAGTAATGATAGTTTGAAAAATATTTTGGACAAGGTAAAATTGACAAAAACTCGATCAAATACCGTTAGTATTTTGCTTATAACTTTTGACCAAACCGAGATAAAAATTTTGGCCTTTTGCAGATTTGTAGAGCTTCAGCTGGCGGTTCTAGTCCACTCCTCAAAGTTTAAAATTGATCCTATCTTCATAGAGTAATAGGCTACTCTTTCAAGGGGACCATGGATCACTAGTTATTAATGTAATGAATCTCAATAATTTTATATGAATGGATGCGCCGGATATGCCTCTTTCCAACAGTGAAAACCGAACCTTTCTATCTTGTGCCTATCAAAAGTTATTCAAAAAATACCCACCCGCCTTCTTTTTTGGAATGGGCAGTAGTTAATTAACCCTTTGAGGACGGGATTACTTTGAAACAGAATGGGGATTTCCGAAACTCTAAAATGATGTATATATTAGAAACAAGATCAATGAGGGCGCAATACCCATGACAGTGTCGCACTACATCGGACATGGCAGATCTATGACCTGTGCAGCATATAGATTATAACAGTATCATAAGAGACATATGCGTAAGTCGGTCATCATCCGGTCCAGAGCCGTTGCCTATATATAGGCTTCCCGTCCCCAAAGGGTTAATTAATAACCATGTGAAAGAACAGATAATTTTACATAAGCCTATGCAAAAGCAATTCACTGAACAAAACCTATTCTGGTAGAGAATTGCACTTAAATACAACGGATGACAGTGACGTAACCAGGATTTTTAGACCAATCAGCAAACCTTCCTTGAGTCGAAAAAACACGGTGGGCAAAATGAAGAAGATTTTTATCGATAGGCCAGAACTTTTTTGACCCAACGAAGTACTAATAACGTAAAAAAATACAAAAATGAAAATGAGGTTGTTTTATCAATACAAAAAAAGAAATAAGATGTTTTTGTTAACAAAAAAAAAGATGACATGAGACTCTTTTAATCAAATGTACATGAAACTCAGATTTTATGTTTGAGTCAGATGTGTTCTAGTCTATTTAATGTCTTTTTTTGCGAAGAAAAATTACCGCTAAATAACCTATTAGTATTAGGTCACTTTTCATTCAACATACGGTAGTATTAGAGTGTTTTAAAACAGAACTATAAAATTACAAATGCACAATTGTATATATGCATGCCTGTTCTTTTCTTTTGTCTTTGCTTATATTATATTACCATGGAAGAAGGAACAAAGCGATGAACTAGATGAGCTAGACTATAGTTCATTTTGTCCCATACCCGTATTATCAGAAGAGACGAAAGAAAAAAATATATTTACGAAGGTGAACAAGTAAAAAGTCAATGGACAATTGCGCATTTGCCAATTTCTGGTTACGCCACTGACGGGTGAATGTCCCGTTTTCGCTGATTTAGTCCATATATAACTGATTGAGTTTATTATTTAATTCAATAAATAAAAGTTAATTTATGTATTTAAATATTTTTCTAGAGAAAAATATTTAAATTGAATAATTGAAGAGCGTAATGATCTTTTCCTTCAAATATCATTTATTAACAAAAGAATAAGTGTTATGAAAAGCATCTAATTGAGACAGAAATGTGACTTTCAATTAATATAAAACATAATCAATTTATTGATCTAATAGAAAATCATTTGAAAATACTTCATGAAACTTACGAAGTTTTATAGACAAAAGTAAAACATGATACATATATTTTAGAGTATCGATATGATATCGTATCAAGATAAATAATAAACAAATACATTTAGTTATTCATCAATGAATTTTTTAACTTGTAAAATATTGTTTATTTATTTTTTCTGTAACATATATAAGAAGAATAAGAGAAGAATTATTGATAAAATCTCTTATATTCATATAAATGACAAAGATTTACCGTCATATATTTGACTGATATATTAAGAAACTAATGAAGATATTGAGTTATATAAAAAAAAAGCAAAAGAAATAATATGGACAATAGACAATATGAATTGTTTTAAAATGATTTGAAAATATTGCTCTATATATATAGATCATGAGTAACAACTATTCTTGTTAGATGACATTCAACGGTAAGAATATTTATAGAAAACATTATATTCTCGATTAGACTAAACTTTTTTCATGGTTCATTTATTGTTCCCCCTCAAAACCCGCCCTGTACGTCGTCGTGGTGTGGGGGCGAACACTGAGCAGGAGAATGCTCGTTGAGGCTATGCCATCAGTGATGAAAGCTCCGGCTGAAAAATCACCTAGGGCGCTACGCGAGGTGGACAGGCTCAACGAGAACCCTGGAAACGACGGCCAACACAGGCGGTGATTGGGTGGCCGGTCTAGAGCGGGCATAAAGATCTTCTTCATAAACGGTCAGCCACCTTACCTGCGTTCTTCCGGCAAGGAACCAGGAAATTCTCTGCCTACGTAATTCACTATGAGACAAAACCAGAATACTGTCACGACTAACGACGTAAACGGATCCCAATCATCAAGAGTGAAACCCGCGTCCGGTAGGGTCGGAAGTAAGGCCGACTCGGTCGTCATCAGGCGAAATCCTTACAATTCTTACAACTCTCAAGAAAAACGTTTTTCGTTCAAGAAACTATTTCGTGTTGGTACATGGAACATAAGAACACTACTAGAGACAGATGCAGCTACCATCCTCGTCTCAGAACTTGAAAAAGCAAGAATCAACATGATGGCTCTCCAAGAAGTACGCGGCTGCAGGAGTGGCTCTCGCACTCGATCAGACCGCCGTCGCATCTATGATCTCATGGCACCCAATCAATGAAAGACTGTTGACGGCCAGATTCAAACACAACTTCGGCTTTCTCTCATTAATAGTAGCCTACGCTCCCACAAATGAGGCGAGCGACATTGACAAAGATGCCTTCTATCAACAAATTGAATTAGCAATGAAAACGACACATCAACGCGACCTTATCATTTGTCTTGATGACTTCAATGCTGTTACGGGAACGTCAAGAATCAATATGGAACACGTCATTGGCCCGTATGGAAGTGGCACCCCAAACGACAACTCCGAGAGGCTACTGAACTTCTGTTTGGGAGCTGGCTTAAGAATCAGTGGTTCATGGTTCAAGCGTAAGGATATACACAGGTACACTTGGTTCTCAAACAACGGGGTGACCGTCAAGAAAATCGACACATTTTGGTAAACTCTAAATGGTCTGCCCTGCACAATTGCCACGTCTATCGTAATATGGAATTTGACACAGACCATCGACCTGTAATCGCTACAATGGCGCTAAGGCTAAAACGCACAAGCGAGAAAAAGTCACATACATTATGTTATAACATTAGGAAGCTGGAAGATCCTGCAGTGCAATCTCAATACGCAGTGAAAATAAGCAACCGCTTCGCTGCATTAGCAATTGAAGAGACCTCCAACTGGAACAGATTCAAGGATACATTAAACGATGTGGCAACAAAACAATTAGGTATTCGCAAACAAATCAAGAAGCCGTGGGTCAGCGACACTACCCTCACATTGGTTGAGAAAAAGAGACAAGCAAGACTTCTTAGCAAACATGATGAATACAAAAAATTGAACAAACAATGCAAGACAAATCTAAAACTGGATCGACAACAATGGGCTGACAACATGGCGAGAGACGGAGAGGCGGCACTCATCGCAGGTGAAATGAGGGACGCTTTTGCTAACTTTCGACGCTTAGCTAAGGCCATCAGGCCCGTCTCTAGCCCAATCCTGGGCGGAAACGGCAATCTGATCAGCGACAAATCACAAAAAGTGGAATGCTGGCGTAGCTATTACGCTGGACTTTTCAACCGACCCAACGCACCCGATTCCGAGGAACTGACTACCGCTGCCCAATCGGCCATCGAAGACCCAACCATCAATTGCAGCGAGCCAACGATGAAGGAAGTTATCAACTGTCTAAACAAAATGAAAAACGGCAAAGCACCAGGCATTTGCAATATCACCCCGGTGATGATGAAAGCTGGAGGTGTCGACTGTAGTATCTGGCTAACCAATATTTACCAGGATGTCTGGCGCTCCGGAGTCATTCCTTCGAATTGGAAAAAAGGCATTATTCTACCATTCTATAAAGGAAAAGGTAACAGGCAGGAGTGTAAAAACTACAGAGGCATCACATTACTGTCCTACCCCGGCAAGCTGTTTGCGCGAATTCTATTGTCAAGAGTGAAGAACTTGCTTTTGGCCAAGCGCAGGAACGAGCAAAGTGACTCCACACCAGGCCGATCAACGGTGGACAGAATCTTCACATTACTCACACTGCTTCAAACACGGCGCGAATACAACCGCTCACTCTGGATCGCCTACGTTGACCTCAAAGCAGCATTCGACTTGATCGATTGCAACGCTCTTTAGCTTATACTGACAAGTCTCGGCGTTCCCAAGAAAATCGTTGACCTAATAAGGGAACTGTATTCTGGCACATTCAGCTGCGTTCGCGTCGACGGCCAACTATTCGACTCGTTTGAAGTCAAAAGCGGTGTTCGCCAAGGGTGCACAATTGCCCCGGATCTGTTTCTAGCACCAATGGACTGGTTACTCAAACGAACCGTACACCGAGGGTTGCTCGGCGCTACACTGGGTAACGAAGTATTCACTGATTTGGACTTTGCAAACGATGTAGCACTTCTACTGGCATTGGAGGTCATGCAGCACGTAGAAATCAACTGGTCAAAGACAAAAATTCAAGAAACCAGAACCGAACCGACTAACAACAACGCACTATCTGTAGGCGGTCAAAATGTGAAAGTGGTCGACTCATTCGTCTACTTAGGTTGCACGATTAACAAAACAGGCAGCAGTATACCAGAAATCACCAAAAGGATTGCAATCGCTCGGAACTGCATGAAGACCCTGGACAAATCCATTTGGCGCTCAAGCACATCGATGCAGACCAAAATCCGTCTTTACAACTGCTATATATTACCAGTCCTCCTGTACGGCGCAGAGACTTGGACAATAACTGGCTCGGTCGAGAAAAAATTAGATGCTGTCGACAACTGGTGTCTTAGACGAATTCTCCACATAGAATACACGAAACACATCACAAACAAAGAAGTCTGTGAACGCACCGGCCAACCTGAGATTAGCACAACTATCAAAAGCAGACGACTACGACAATTCGGACACATAGCCAGAGGCGATCCCATCTCAGACCACACCAGAGCACTGCAAGCAGGCAAAAATGCCGTAGTCTTGTAGTGGAAGCAACGTTCAGTAGGATACGCTACAGATGACGATGATTTATTGTTACTTTATGTTGAATGCTGTCAATCAATTATTCAACAGTTAATTCTCCAAATTGTACGTATATTCAATTTGAAAATGTTCTTCAAGAAATTTTAAATAGAAATTTTATTATATGAATAAGCTGTCTAACGGTACGCTACTTGTTAACATATCTACTAAAACCGATACATCACTTCATATATGTACCGAAATATTTGAGATTTTTTTTTTAAATTTCAAGTAAATATGTGACTAGTGAGAGTGAGAGAGTCTAACTTTGCATCGATTCTGAAAAAGTTATCGTTGTATATAATATTAAATGAAATATAACATAGATATATGTATATAGACATTGGTATCAATTTTTTTAATGTCAAATTGAGTAAAACTCATTAGTTGATAATCAGATCAATATTAAATATTGATTAGAACTATATTCGAATAATTATAGTTCGAATGTCAATAGTCTATTGATGAATATAATAATATCCATCAAAAAATATATTCTAGATAGTAAAATATAAGTGAAATAAAAATAAATTGTTTAATTTATTTTAATTAAAATAAGTTTCAATTTATTTCGAAGAAATAAAAACGAAAGTAACTGATATTAAATAATAATTGATGTTATAATTAAGTTGAATATTTAATTATATATTAATATGGATAAGATTTTGAATAATCAATATCTAAACCATTATCACATTGTTCTTGATGTTTTTGATCAAGATATTTTAAGAGAACCTCTTCATAAGCTTTTTTTCCTTTGTATATAGAAACATCATCTGGCCAACTTCGTATAGCTGAAGCTAATCGTCCTGGTATACCTGCTTCTTTAGCTATTTCAATAACTGGAATAAAATAAGGATGAATAGTAAAAAGAATAGCTCCACTTCTTGGTAATCGTCTAAGTGTTTGTCTTTCATTACGAAAATAAATATTTTCAATTGGTGGATTTGGTTTAGCATTTATCCATCCAATACCAAATTGATCTTCAGAACCAATTGAATTTCACCAAGCTAAATCTCCATCTGTTTGAATAAAATAATTATGTCTCATAACAGGATGTTCAGGAGTCATCTTTTGAAAATATCTTTCCATACTATGTTGTAATTTTTCTTTAAATTTGGGAACATCACCTGATAAATGAATTTGTGCAAGAGGCATATTAAATTTATCTTGAAGACGCCAAAATCCCGGAATAATAATTGAACCAGCTTTAAGATAATATTGTCCATCAGATCCTTCAATCATTAGAGCTAAATCGTCTTGAATTAAAAGTGATGCATATTTAAGAGGATCATCACTATTTATACTATAGATTTCTCCTGTTGTTTTAATTCGAATTTTTTTATCATTATTATTATTTAATTCATATTGAAATAATGATGGATAGCGATGAACTAAATATTCACAAAGTAATTCCATTGTTTCAAGTGCAGCATCATATGCTTCAGGTGCTGTTTTACATAAAAGATGAGCTCTTTCTTCTGAAAGCCGATCAAGTTTTACTTGATGATATTTACTCCATTCATTATCTAATTCAATCCAATCATTTAAATCTAAACGTCGAATTCCCATTGTTATAAAATAATCAGGTCCATACTTAAATGGACGATATGGTAATGGACGAGTTGTTTCAATTGACCAATCAGGATAAGCAACTGGAATAGGTGATTTAAATGAAACTGGAATCCATTTACCAAATGTTCTCTTCGTAGAAGATTTACTCTTTTTTGATTTTCTTCGTCGATATTTAATGATCCTTAATAATGATAGAATA